CTGGCTCAGGCATTCTGCTCAGCCTCCTGAGAGCTGGGAATTTCCAGAAGAGTGGAGATTACAGTGCCCACTCACGCCAACTAATTTTAAGCCAGAGAGCCAAGCCACCATGTTGGTCATTCATCTTGAACTCTGACCTGTAGATCCACTGCCTCGGCCTCCTGAGTGGGACCACAGGCATGAGCCACTGTGCCTGGCCCCTGCTATGTTTTAAAGACTCATTATTTTATGGAATTAACAGACGTCATCCATCTCAGTGGTTTTCTTAGCACTACTGCAAAGGCACAACAACAAAATGTGAATATGTTGCAATTTTTCCTGGTGCCTGTAACTCAGTGCCTCAGAAGGGTCAGAGATGGAGGGTCACTTGAGGCCAGGAAGAGACCAGCCTGGACAACACAGCAAGACCCCATCTCACACACAAACAAAAATTAGGCTATGTATGTTGTATAACCTGTGGTCTCAGCTATTGGGAGGCTGAGGTGGGAGGATCGCTGAGCCCTGCAGGAGTTCAAGGCCACATAGAGCGGATTGTGGACACTGCATCATGCAGAGGCCACACAGAGTGAGAGCTCATCTCTAAAAAAATTAAAAACAAATAAATGAGACTATCCCCACATCCTGCAGTCATTTCCATCCTCTCCAGGTCCCCAACTCAGGAAATGCTTAGCTAATAAAATCATTCATGTGGCACCAGGGTGTGGTATCAAAGAGGGGTGTAATTTCAGCTGCTTGTATGAGTGTAATAGTTCGGGGTATGAATGATTGGTGTGTGATGCTTGGTTTCGGGTGGAAGGAGGAGCTACAGGCCCAGGGGCCGGGTAGAGAAAGAGATCACCAGTGGGGCCTCTTGGGGTCTCAGAGTGGGAGCTGCTCAGGCCCCTTCTCATCTCGCCTCCTACTGCACCTCACCACCTGTCTCAGCATGGGGCAGGGGTGATGTTGTCACTGGTTAACGGGCTCAGCTGGATTTGGGCCCCAGTTACTCACAGCAGCCCAGAGAGTTGGGCAGGAAGAACAAGCTTTAGTTGGGTGCTGCTGCTGGGGATAGTGGAAGGTTCATGTCATAAAGCAGCCATGGTCAGGGAAGGGGGACTAGTATTCACTGACTCCAGCTTGACGCCCCACCCCCGATTTCTGCTGCAGCCATGATCATCTGGGAAAGCAGCAAGTGAGGGCTGAGGGTATGGAATGATTTGGTGGCTCTGTGATGCCTTGGGCCCTGGTGAGTGGTAATATGCAGACAACATAGGGTTCGCCGCAGGGCAGCAGTTGCACTAAAGGAGCCGGAGGTGCTGGTTGGGCAGGGAAAGGTACAAACATTAAGAGGCAAGGCCACCAGTAGATGAGTGGTTTGGAAGTGATGGCAAGAGAACTTTAAATCTCATCCTCTCTAATGAGTGACTGGCCCATTATGAGTATTATACTCCGGCTCAGCACCCTTGTTAGTTGGAGAGAAGAGGCTTTGGTGTGGGTACAGAATATACAGGCCGAATTGCAGCCCTCGGCTCCAGTAGCCTCTCATTAATTCTGCACGGTCTGTGGTCAGCCCCACCCCAGACTGGTCCGATCATGTCCTCTCCATGACGCACAGCTGATTTGCCCATGACGCCACGGTGACCATCATCATTGATGATGTCACCACAGCACGATGCCAGCGCTTCTTGGAGGCGCGGTCACCGAGCGCCTTCACCACTTCGCTGGGGTTTCATCCAGGCGGTGGCTACCGATGACTGGACCACGCGGAAGTTCGCACCGCCCAGCGGACACCTGTTTACCTCTGGGGATGCTACGATCCTCGCGGCAGATCGCCGGCTAGCCGCCAGGGCCCGGGGGCGTCCGTCCTTCCTGCCTCTCCCAGACCTTGTAGGGAGCGCCGGCACCTCAATCCAGCCGGTTGATGAGCCATCTCGATGCAGCTGCTGCTGCCCTTCGAGACAAACACATCCAGCCTGCGGAGCCCCAGAGGAACCACATGCGCGGTGGTCGGTGCCCCGCGCCCTTACTTCGCCCCTCCCCAGTGCTCTTCCGCCCATCCACCCCCAGGATCTGCAGCTGCTCGCATGTCTCACTTACTGGCTTCACGGGCACTACTTTCTGCAGACGAGGTGGATCTCTGCCACTGCTGGCCCTGTGGTTCTACTGGTAGTCCTCTGATAGCAGGTACCATCACTTCTTGTGTTGGCATTAGTCTGGGCCAGCATTAATCAAATGCCAGGCTTCATGGGGTGTGTAATGGGGCCATTAATGAGTGGTTCCCAACGCTTTTGAAGCAAGTTAATCGGCGATCCATCAGTAATTTGGTGATTCTATGTTTAAATAATTTGTAAGTGTTCAGTTTCTATAACAACTTCACTATCCAGAATGAAAATCACATTCTCTATCTAAAGCTGTTAATGCTGGATCCATATTTAATTATGTTTTCCTGTTTTGTTTGTCAGCTTTTTGGCTTTTAAATTTGTTACAAAACAAGATAGGAATATTAATGTTGTACTTAGGCTCAGTATATCAAGACCAGAACCCACAGAAGCAGTGGCTCATGCCTGTAACCCCAGTGCACTGGGATGAGATGGGGACTGCATAACAGAGTCGGCACCAGCTAGTCTCCATACCAGCCTAAATGCACATGAGCAAACCTGTCTCACTGGGCACATGTGCACCAGCTGTGGGCAGGCATGCCTAATCCCCAGGTTACCCAGGAGGCTGAGGCAGAGAACCACCGAACTCCGAGGCCGGGAGGTTGCAGTAAGCTGAGATGAGCCACTGTACCCAGCCTGGGCATAGAGTGAGTCTGCATTCATTAAAAAAAAAAGGTCGGGCGCGGTGGCTCGCCTGTAACCTAAAAAGGTTTCAGGAGGCCGAGGATGAAGTGACTGGTTGTGGAGATCGACCATCTCATGACCCGGTGAAACCTCGTCTTTAATAAAAATACACAAAAAATCAGCTGGCGGTGGCGGCCGTAGTCCCAGCTTACTTCGGGAGGCTGAGGCAGGAGAATGGCAGAACCCCGGGAGGCGGAGGCTTGCAGCAGTAGAGATCTCGCCACTGCACTCCAGCCTGGGCGAGGCAGAGCGACTCCGCTCTCAAAAAAAAAAAATTAAGAATTAAAATTGCCACAGTGGTTCACGCCTTTGCAATCCTAAATGACTTTGGGAGGTTGAGGATGTGAAATCTCCTGGAGGTCAGGAGTTTGATACTAAACTGGCTGTTACAGAACCCCATCTCTACTGGGGCAACACAAAAATATTTTGGTGGTGAAAAGAGCGCCTGTAATTCCAGCTACTGGGGAGGCTGAGGGTGAGACCGCTGACCTAGAGGGGGAGGGTTGTATGAGCTGATGGGCCACTGCACCAGACTGGGCAACAGAGCAAAATCATCTGTAAATAATGACATAATTTAAAAAGGAAAATAAAAAGAAGGAAAATAATTAATAGAATATTAAAATAAATAAATTTTTTTTTTTGAGACAGAGTCTCAGTTCCCACACCAGGCTGAATGCAGTAAAATCTCTTGTCTACTGTACTCTTCGCCTCCCAATTGAGCTACCTCTGACTCTGTCTCCAGAGTAGCTGGGACACATGAGCTGCTTTCATCAAGCCTGGGGTGAACTATTTTATGAAACTGCAGGTGCTAGCCAGATGATCTGACTCACTGACCTTGAAGAGATCTGCCTGCCTTGTCTATACTGAAGTGCTGGGATTACAGTGTGTTTAATTACTACCTTATTTCAAATTCTCTCTAGTTCTAATTAAGTTGACAATCCTAATCTGTTGAGTAATTCAGATATGAAAGGCTTCTTTCAGGCACCTGACAAAGGGTCCTTAAGCCAAACTGTTAAGTGTCCCTTCCGATCGCGTGGTGGCTTACACTTTGTAACCCCAAAGTGACTGGGGTGGATCACCGAGGCTGTGGTCGAGACCAGCCTGGGCAACACAGTAAACCCCATTTCTACTAAAAATACAAAAATTAGCTGGGCAGGTGCCTAGTCCCAGCTACTTGGGAGGCTGAGGCAGGAGAATTGCTTGAAACCGGAGGGGGCAACAGAGTGAGGCTCCATCTCAAAATAAATAATGCAGTAAATAAATAATCAGCATACTGGAGGCTGAGATATTAAACATCAAAAAAAGGCACTTGTTTTAAAAACATGGACTCCTAGTCCTCCTGGATAATTCTAACTCAGTATATTCCAGAGCGTCCTGGAACACTTCATGTTCTCTTAATGGACATATGTATGTATACAGACATATTAGACAGTGTATATATCCTTAGTGGTAGATACACCCATGTCATAGCCCTGGGGATAAGTGTTGGTAGTATATAAAAATGCCGGTCACAAGAAAAACAGGGAGAGGACTGGCGCGGACTGCACTGATAGTCCTGTGCCACTGGGCAGGCTGAGGTGGGAGAATCGCTTGCGCCTGGGAGGTCAAGACTGCAGTGAACTATGATTGCACACCACCAACAGGAAATAGAGTGAGATTGTTTCAAAAAAAAAAAAGAAAAAGAAAGAAAAACTTAAAAAGGGGCTGGGCGCGGTGGCTCATGCCTGCAATCTCAGCACTTCGGGAGGCTGAGGCATGGATCAGCCTGAGGTTAGATTTCAAACCAGCTTGGCAAAGGTAAACCCTACCAAAACTACCAAAATTAGCCGAACGTGGTGACACACGCCTGTAGTCCCACCTATTCCGAAGACAAGAGAGGGGGGATCGCCAAGAGCCAAGGAGGCCCAGCAGAAAGTGAGCCATATCATGTTCTGCACCTAGTATAAGTGACAGAGCAAGACCCTGTCTCAAATAAATGTCAAACAAAATAAGAAAACAAGGAGAAATGGGAAAGTGAGGGACAACAATTGGGCAAGAACAAGGCTTCTAGCACTTTCCAGCCTGTAGGGCAGGTTTATTCACCCTTGGCTACTGCGCTCAGTGTCCTACCTGCCAAGCTGGTGGTTCATGCAAAGCCGCACCAGCCGCCACTGGCAGCCCGGCAGCCTGCGGTTGTGCCCAGATCAGAATCAAACTTCTGATAATCAGTGGCCGGGGACAAGCCTGGCTCCCGTCTATCTGATCAATTCATCACTTCTGAGCGCCGCCTGCAGGGCCAGCTCCGGGACCTCGGGGACCAAGCAGCGCTGCCGTTGCCTAAGGGCCTCTGCAGCCAGCGCTCGAGGAGGGGGCTTCGCAGGAGGAGAGCTTTTCATTTCGGGTCGGACCAGCGGGGCTGGGGTCACGACCCGATCAAATAAGATCAACGTAAGCAGGAGAGGGCAGGGCACACCTGCCTAACACGCTCCAAGCGCGCACACTGCCGCGTCCACTCAGCTCCGCACGCGAAATTACCGATCGCCAGAAACAATACAAACCCCACACCACTCCTCCTCTTCCCAAAACTTCCGTCGGCTTCCTTGGGCGCGGCTTTTAAGCCCTCCGCCCTCTCCCCGCGCCTCCTTTGAGGATTCTGGGGAGGAACCACAGGCGCGGTGCGATGTCTGGAAAAAGGGAGTGTTCCTCATAGTGGCAGATGCTTGCCCTCGCGTGGCTCGGAGGAACAGGTCCGCAGCGGCGGTACTAATTTCACCATGAGACTGTTGGTTCTTTTTTTTTTTTTTTGAGATTTGGTCGCCCTGTCACCCAGGCTAGAGGCAGTGGCGCAACACGGTCGGTCAGTTCTAGCTTAAGTGATCCTCCACCGGTGCCTTCCCAGGCAGCTGGGACTGACAGGTAGAGCGCCACCGCACCTAGCCTTTTAGACCTTTGTATAACTAAGATACTCTATATCCATATTCTCTAGTTTTTCTTGGGGATCTTGACTTTAATTTGTCTTCACTCTTTCTTTTTTTTTTTTTTTTGAGATGGAGTCTTGCCTGTCGCCCAGGCTGGAGTGCAATGGCGTGTCTTGGCCTCTGCCTCCCGGGTTCAAGCAATTCTCCTGCCTGCCTCCGGAGTAGCTGATTACAGGGTCCGCCACTGCTTGGCTAATTCTTGCATTCTTAGTGACTATGGTCACCAAAGGCTGGCTGATCTTGAACTCCTGACCCCAGACTGGGCCCGCCTGGCCTCCCAAAGTGCTGGGATTACAGGCATGGTTCACTGCGCCTGCCCAATTTCTTTTTTAGACGGAGTCTAGTCTACCACCAGGCGAGTGACATCAATGCCGATCTCACTCACTGTGTCCTCCATCTCTAGGTGGGAGAATGGCTTGAGCCTGGGAGGTGGAGACTGCCATTAACTATGATCGCGCCACTGCACTCCAGCCTGGGAAACAGAGTGAGACTGTTTCCAAAAAAAAGAAAGAAAAACTGAAAAAGGGGCTGGGCGCGGTGCCTCATGCCTGTAATCCCAGCATTTTGGGAGGCCGAGGCGGGCGAATCACTTGAGGTTAGGAGTTCGACACCAGCCTGGCAAAACATGGTGAAACCCCGTCTCTACCAAAAAAATACAAAAATTAGCCGAACGTGGTGAGGCGCGCCCATAGTCCCACCTATTCGGGAGACAGAGATGGGAAGATCGCTTGAGCCAAGGAGGTCGAAGTTGCAGTGAGTCGATATCGCGGTTCTGCAAAAAAAAAAAAAGAGGAGCAAAAGAAAAAAAAGAAAAACAAGGAGAAATGGGAAAGTGGTTGGAAAATAAACCAGCGGCGAACAAGGCCTCTGCGACCTTCCAGCTCCCGGTGGAGGGGCGGCGGCTTATTTACCCTTGGCCACCGCGCTCAGCGTCCCCACCCGCCGCCGGCCGTTCTCGTGCTCGCCGCTACGCCACTGGCAGCCCGCAGCCCGCAGCCCGGTGGCCGTGCCCAGATCAGAATCGCCTCGATAATCACTGGCCCGGGACAAGCCCGGCCTCGTCTATCTGATCAATTCATCACTTCTGAGCGCCGGGCCCCGCAGGGCCAGCTCCAGGACCTCGGGGACCGCAGCGTTGCCGCCGCCTAAGGGGCCTCTCTGCACAGCGCCTCGAGGAGGGGGCTTCGCAGGAGGAGAGCTTTTCATTTCGGGTCGGACCGGCGGGGCTGGGGTCACGACCCGATCAAATAAGATCAAAGTGTAAGCGGGAGGAGGGGCGCAGGGGTGGGCGCACGCACTCGCCTAACACGCTCCAAGCGCGCACACTCACACACTCACGCGTCCACTCACACTCAGCCCGCACGCGCCTCCCACGCGACACCACAGCTCCGCACACAACCCTCCAGCCGCTCTCCCTCCCTAAAACAGCGGAAGTGCGCTCCTCTCCACCCCCCAATCTGCGGCTTTTAAGCCCTCTACCCCCTCCCGCGCCTTGGAGGATTCTGGGAGGAACCACCGAGCACCGGCGGACAGGTCCTGAAGAACCGGGTGTTCCTCAGAGTGCGCGCGTTGCTGCCCTCGCGTGGCTCGGAGGGGAACATAGGTCCCGGGAAAAGGCGGTACTAATTTCCACCATACAGAATCCTGGTTCTTTTTTTTTTTTTTTGGAGACCAGTTCTCGCCCTGTCGCCCAGTCTAGAGTGCAGTGGCGCGAACACGGCTCATTGCTCCTAGCTTAAGTGATCCTCCCACCTCAGCCACCTGAGTAGCTGGGACCACAGGAGAGTGCCACCACACCTACCCTTTTGACCTTTGTATAACTACATATTTATAGCCATATCTTTGGTTTTTCTGTGATCTTTGTCTTCAATTTCTTTCTTCTTTCCTTCCTTCTTTCTTTTCTTTACTTTTCTTTTTTCTTTTCTTACATGGAGTCTCGCTCTTGTTGCCCAGGCTGGAGTGCAATGACCCGATCTTGGCTTACTGCAACCTCCGCCTCCCGGGTTCAAGCAATTCTCCTGCTTCAGTTTCCGGAGTAGCTGGGATTATAGGGGTCCACCACTATGCCTGGCTAATTTTTGTATTTTTAGTAGAGATGAGGTTTCACCATGTTGGCCACGCTGGTCTCGAACTGCTGACCTCATGATCCGCCCGCCTTGGCCTCCCAAAGTGCTGGGATTACAGGCCTGAGCCAATGCGCCCAGGCCAATTTCTTTCTGTTTTTTGTAGATGGAGTCTAGCTCTGTCACCCAGGGTGGAGTGCACTGGCGTGATCTCAGTTCACTGCAACCTCCATCTCCTGGGTTCAAGCGATTCTCCTGCCTCAGCCTCCCAAGTAGCTGGGATTACAGATGCCCACCACTACACCCGGCAAATTGTTTTAGTAGAGATGGGGTTTCACTGTGTGGGCCAGGTTGGTCCTGAACTCTTGACCTCAAGTGATCCGCCCACCTCAGCCTCCCAAAGTGCTGGGATTACAGGTGTGAGCCACCACGACTGGCCTTAACTTTTTTTTTTTTTCTTTTTCTTTTTGAGGCAGAGTTTCACTCTTGTTACCCAGGCTGGAGTACCATGGCGTGATCTCAGTTCACCACAACCTCCACCTCCTGGGTTCAAGCAATTCTCCTGCCTCAGCCTCCCAAGTAGCTGAAATTACAGGCATGTGCCACCACTTCCAGCTAATTTTTTATTTTTAGTAGAGTTGTGGTTTCTCCATGTTGGTCAGGCTGGTCTCAAACTCCTGACCTCAGGTGATCCGCCTGCCTTGGCCTCCCAAAGTGCTGGGATTACAGGCATTAGCCACCATACCCAGCCCTTAAATTTTTTAATATGATTCAACTTCAGGGTATTTATAGGTGAGTGACTTCTTTTCCAAGAAGACAGCAATCCCTGGTCGTTACCATGGGGAGCATCAGCTTCCCCAGTAGCTCCTTCTCCCTAGGGAGAAGGCAAATATTTTACCAAAGGGAAAGGTGAGGAATAGAGTACATATGTATGTATGTATGTATGTATGTATGTATGTATGTATTTACTTACTTATTTGTTTGAGACAGGGTCTTGCTCTGTCGCCCATGCTGGAGTGCAGTGGTACGATCACAGCTCACTGCAGCCTCAACCTCCTGGGCTCAATTGATCCTCCCATCTCAGCCTCCCAAGTTGCTGGGACCACAGGTAACATCTGGCTACTTTCTTTTTCTTTTTTTTTTTTTTCTTTTGAGACAGAGTCTTGCTCTGTGGCCCAGGCTGGAGTGCAGAGGCACCATCTGGGCTGACTGCAACCTCTGCCTCCCAGGATCAAGCCATTCTCCCATCTCAGCCTCCTGAGTAGCTGGGATTACAGGTGCATGCCACCACGCCCAGAAAATTTTTTGTAGTTTTAGTAGAGACGCATTTTCACCGTGTTAGCCAGGATGGTGTCGATCTCCTGACCTCATGATCCATCAGCCTCAGCCTCCCAAAGTGCTGGGATTACAGGCGTGAGCCACCACACCAGGCCCACACCTGGCTATTTTTAAAAAAAAATTTTTTGTAGATACAGAGATCTCACTATGTTGCCCAGTCTGGTCTTGAACTCCTAGGCTCAAGCGATCCTCCTGCCTTGTCCTCCCAAAGTGCTGGGATTACAGGCGTGAGCCACTGCGCCCGGCCAGATTCTGAACTATATAATATATTCAGTGCTGTCACAATGGGATAACAGGAATGATGGTATTCACTAATGTGAACTAAAAAGGTAGGCTATGAACTGAACCCAGGGGAGTATTGAACAAATTTCAACAAATTCAGCATGTGACAAATAAATTGACAAAGATTGTAGGGAAAAAACGTTTATTTTCAAGGATTTCTGCAGACAATGGTGAATAAAAATTTGTATTTCAACTATAAAAAGGAGCTGACTTCATTCCACCCTGACCTACAGGGTTTAGGGTGATGCCAGTTTGAATCTGAGGCTATACTGCTATCCCCATTCTTCCACCTGTAAAAGATTCCCCCAGAGGAATAACTTCCTATAACTTTTAGTCAAAAATATGCAAGACATATCAAACAAAGCAATGAGTTAAACAAGTTTCTGCTTATCTGCTTAGGGAAAGTCAAGAAATGAAACAAATGTGTATTTGTTTCTTGCTGTAAATTACCTTTACCTTGTGCACTTTTTCGTACATTCTGCTGTGAAAACATCTCTAAATGTGACAACACAAGAATTTAGGTCAAGATGACCCACCCAGGAGGCTGTAAGAACTGGTTTGAACTAGTACTGTGGAATGGAACTAGTTTAAAATATGAAGCAGCTCTAAACACCAAGCTTAGAGACATTAGAAAACAAAAATCATTAAAGCTACAAAATAACAAGTGCAAACATGCTGACCCTGTTTCCAGGGAGTGACATTCCCTTTGGCCAACAGGTCCCAAACTCACACCCACAAGGTGTAACTCTCTTTCCTGTTCCACTAGATTTCCTTTCTCTCATCTCAAAGGTCTTCAGAAATGACAATGGAAAACATATGAATTGTTGAAATTTACCCTGTGGACCAATTCCTGAAGAGATAACAGCCACAACTCTGAGATGATTAGACATGTAGTGTTTACTTGATAACTTTCTGTATTTCTAGAAACCCTCAAAGCATTAAACTGCCTATTTCAAAATCTAAACTTCCTAGCAGCTTTTATTATTTGGAGTAAGCAGACAGAAGACAATTTACCGCCACACAGGAATCAACCACAGCTAACTTGTCCACCATTAAGTTTTACGATCATGGACAATTCAACTGGAAGATCCATGCCTATGCTTGCTTATAATAATTTAATTTTAAACCTACTCTTTTTTTTCAAATAGAGAAGTTCTAGATATCCAACAGCTGATCCTTCTGTAGATATAAGGAGGGAATGGAGAAGTCTTCCTGTCAAATGCTGAGCCATCTAAAATGGTCTGCTCAGGAGTTACTAACTCCATGGCAAAATACTTCAGTATCAGTTGCAAAGGTCTGTTTTCTTCTACTTCAGGAAACACCTTCATTTGATTTGTGGATCCTATGCACGGTGGAAACACACTGATGAATATCAGCAACTTCTCTCATTTGAATTTCTCATGTCCTTAAAGTAAGTAGAATTTCCAGAGACAACTAAAGAGTAATGCAATATGAAGAAAATTAAGAGTTGGCTAAGAAAAATAAGTAATCAACTAAAAATTGCCATAACAACTCAGACTTAAACACAAAATAAGTTTGTTGTCTTTTATAAGATGACAAAACTTCAATCTGACATCACAAGTTCTTATACTAGACAAATTTACTAGTATATGAATCAATATACTAGATTTCTTTCTTCTACCCCAACTGCAAATATATTAAACAATTTTTCAATAGTTTCTTTTTCCTTAGTTGTGGCATTTAAAACTGAGTAACAGTATTTAGCACTAAGTAATTTAGAAAATATAAAAAGGTTTTATGAAATAGCAACAGTTGATTCATTTTTCATATACCATCTGATCAAGTGAAGTCTCCATTTGAGGATACTGGTGAACAGAAAAATTTTTTCTTGTCTAAGCCACTGCTTTCTGGTCTCATCACACAGATAATTCTCAAATTTTATGTAGGCCCAGATTTTCTTGGCAAAACTCAAGATACCAGCACATAACACAGCTACTTCATCTGTTCTCTTTTTGCAGTGAGCACTATGCCTCTCTTTTATGTTTCCAGATGGGTACATGAAAAATGAATTTCTAAAGCCAAAGAATATCTTGGCATTTCATAACTGTTTCCCACCCAGCATCCCCTCCCCAATTTGCCAGATCCAAATCAAAGAGTGAAAAGTCGTCTTGAAAATTCTGTCTTCAAAAGAGGTCTGAACACAGCCTAGTTCCTTCCCTAACGAGCCTGTTTGAAAAGATCCTGATGAGGAGCTGAAGAACAAAACAAGATGATAGGTTTTTATGAAGGAGGTATGTAATCTTATCACCGAGGGGTGTAATTTATCTGGACATCATATGCACTCTGCCAAGGACTGATTTACACACAGATCAAAGGAAGCTGGCTTTCTGTAGTCCCCTGAAGCATACATAATGTTCGTGTCCATGAGTTTTCCCCACATATAGCAGGGGCTGATGCTGGCAATTGTCATTCTGGGGACTGATGATTTCAGCCTTGAACTCTCCTACCTGCGGAGTCAGGTCTCAACAGTTCTTCATCCGTCCCCTTGGTTGGCAGTTGTTGACTTGGATACTGGAATTCATTTTATAAACAGGACGTAAAGGCCATTACAACACAAGCAATTGCCACAGCATGCAACCTGGTTCCAATCACAGCGGCTAGCAGCGAAAGAGAGAAGAGACTCACACCCTGCCCTTCATATAAGTCCTCACTTTCAAGGTGATATTTTGAAGTCTCTAGTCACAGACAGACATATCAATGCTCACCTCAAGGACCTGGGATGTTTTTATTTATTTTTGAGGCAGTCTCACTCTGTGTCTGAGTCCAGGTCTCCAACAGGTTCTTCATCCCCGTCCCCTTGGTTGGCAGTTGATGACTTGGATACTTTGGAATTCATTTTATAAACAGGACGTAAAAGGCCATTACAACACAAGCAATTGCCACAGCAGCATGCAGCCTGGTTCCAATCACAGCGGCTAGCAGGCAAAAGAGAGAAGAAATCACACCCTGCCCTTCATATAAGTCCTCACTTTCAAGGTGATATTTTGAAGTCTCTAGTCACAGACAGACATATCAATGCTCTCAAGGACCTGGGATGTTTTTATTTTATTTTTTGAGGCAGTCTCACTCTGTCGCCCAGGCTGGAGTGCAGTGGCACAATCTCGGCTCACTGCAACCTCTGTCGCACGGGTTCAAGCAATTCTCCTGCCTCAGCCTCCTGAGTAGCTGAGATTACAGGCGCCTGCCACCATGCCCAGCTAATTTTTGTATTTTTAGTAGAGACGGGGTTTCACTATCTTGGCCAGGCTGGTCTTGAACTCTTAACGTCAGGTGATCCACCCACCTTGGCCTCCCAAAGGGCTGGAATTATAGGCATGAGCCACTGCGCCCGGCTCCCTGGCTAAATTTTTTATTTTTAGTAGAGACGGGGTTTCACCATGTTGGCCAGGCTGGTCTCGAACTCCTGACCTCGGGTGATCCGCCCACCTTGGCCTCCTCAAAGTGTTGGGATTACAGGCATGAGCCACGGCACCCAGCCTGTGGGATGTTTCTAAATGCTATCCTTATGCTTTAGGGTCTAGGTGAATATACTGTTTGTTTATATTTTGTCCTTTTTCCAAAAAAAAAATTTAGATAGATAGGATTCCAAATGAATGTGCCTCAAATAAACACTAAAAAAAGCATCCGAGTTAATTAAATCAAACCTTAAAAGAGACTCCAATGTACCCTTGACAGAAAATCAAGAAAAATTTTCTGTAGAAAAATCTTTTTCCCACTGAAGGGAGGAATTCCACCCCAGCCTAAAATGGTTTGATGTGTATACTTTTACTCCACGGAGAATACAAAAATCATCTGGATGCTAAAATAGACAATTATGTTTTTCAATAACATTTAATTTTAATTTTTTTTTTTTTTTAAGACAGGGTCTCACCTTCTCACCTGGGCTGGAGTGCAGTGGCTCCACCATGGCTCACTGCAGCCTCAACCTCCTAGGCTCAAGCAATCCTCCCACCTCAGTCTCCTGAGTAGCTGGGACTACAGGCACGTGCCACCATACCTGGCTAATTTTTGTACATTTTGTAGAAATGGGGTCTCACTATGTTGCCCAGGCTGATCTACAACTCCTGGACACAAGCAATCCTCCTGCCTTGGCCCCCCAAAGTGCTGGGATTATAGGCATGAGCCACCACACCCAGCAAATTTTAACATTTATCTCTTCCCTCAACTTTGGAGAATGATTAATTTTACAGACTCTCAGACCCAATTTGAGGGGTTGTTTTCTAAAAATGAAACCAAATACAGTCCCAGCTCACTGTACTCCCTACTTTGTAGCTCCACACTGTCCAGAGATGGCAGTCTCTTCTCCCTGTCCAGACATGGCCTCACCTTTGTAAAACACACCCCAAACACCCTTCTTCTCTGATAGCAGCCAGGTTTTCAGACGAGGTACTTTCTTGAAGTAGGCACAGGTGCAAACAAAGAGCAAACCAAACACCAGAATCCCATCCAAGGAGTACACTGTTAAATAAAAAAGAAAAGAAAACCTTAGGTACTGATCTAGCGTGGGACCTGTGATCCTGCCTGAGAACTCTAAGGAAAACAGTATGTGACACAATAACAAAATAATAACCCCAACAGGCAGTACCAACACTTGACAAGAGGGAGCCAGGATCCTGGGACTAACAAGATTAATGTTCCCAAAAATTGCTTGTAGGAGGAAGGAGAATCAATTGAGCCCAGGAGTTCGAGGCTGCAATGAACTATGATCATGCCACTGCACTTTAGCCTGAGCAACAGAGTGAGACCCCAACGCAAAAAAAATAAATTTTTTTTTTACATCCCCTTTACTAAAATGTCACTGGTCCCTCCCCTCACCTCTCAAGAAGTAGAAATCCTGGGCAGAAATTAGCATCCCAAGAATGACTAGCGTTGGCAATAGATTGAGACATACGAATCCTTAGAGACTCAGCACAGAAAATTTAACATGTTCTTGTTATAAATCACTCATATGATAAAGGAGAGGTAGATATATAGCCAAATCTGTCAGATGTGCAACTGTTGGTGAAGAATACGTTAAGGCTAAAAGTAAAGCTTAATGAAAATTACAAGAGTGATAATGTACATAACTACAATTTTCCTATCAGTATCTTAAACTTTATGCATGATATTCTAACAAACCGAATTTCTGCCAGAATAATAACAGATTTTTCTAAAACAAAGAAAAGGTATCTAAGGCTTCAATATAGAAAGCTTCAACTTCTTAGCTTTGTTTCTTAAATATATAAACCAAGCTCATTTCTTGTACAGGTAATCATAATGAATCACCTAATTGCAAAAAACGAGAAGATACTGGACCACAAAATGGGGGAAAAATGACTAAAATTTATTCAGCAATTACCGTGTCAAACTGCCGTCTTACTTCCTGGTTCAGATTCTGTCTTCCTCTGGTTAATGTCCCTTTTCTTACTGTGCCTAGTATCCTGAGACCTCTGACTTCCCAGAAAGCTCCAAATGAATATTCTATATAAACAGTGTCTGCCAGTTCTAACCACACTATCTACCTCTCTCCCTCCAGTAAAACTGTCTCACAGCTGGCTGTCACTAAGAAAGGGTCCAGTAAATTAACACATACCACTAAGGTTCATGAGAACTATACACTGCGATATACCCCTTTTTTCTCTCATAAGTTTCTGCAGACAATGGCAAAATTCACAAGGAGGTTAAATTCGAGTCTTCATTGATACCAGGGCTATGGACAAATTAGCACCGAGAAATGCTTTCGAGCCCCTCAAATCATCGTAATGCCTAAAGGCTTTCTCTTCTCCTTTCCACCTGTAAGGTTATTAAAAATCATGAAATCTCCTTCCACCCTCTCCTCCTCTGGAATTCAGAATTCACATCTATAAAGTTTTTGAGGCCTGGAAAATGAGGTCAGATAAACAGATTGACAACTGCCTCATCATCTAGAAGAGGCAATGTCTAAATCCACCCCTTTCAACACTAGTCAGGGTCTCCACATTGAGATCGCCCCGCCAAATTTTTTAAAATCAAAAATCTTTCTGGCATTTTTCCGCCGCTAAGGAGAGACCTTTTGTGAGATACACATTTATCGCTTTGGCGAGACTTGATATTCCTTATGATTTATTGGCCTCTCCACAAAACTACGGTCGAAAATGAGAACGCAGGGGCTGGAGGAAGGAGCCTCTCTCTTCCCTGGGTCTAAATAGCAGCAGTACCTCTGGGACTGACCTCTCCAAAGACCAGAAAGAACCAAAAAAAAGAAAAGGGAAAGCAAAGGATAGGGATAATAACTCGAGGTATGAGCATCGAGGTACTGGGGGTCCTAGATGAATATGGGAAGGGGAGCCGCGGAGGAGGATAGGAGGTACGAAGTTAGGGGCGTCGGGGAGGTAGGGGGCAGGCTGAGAGGGCAGGAGAACGACTACGTCTGTCGGCCCCACTCCACCGTTTCCTTCGTCCTTCACTCCCACGCTCCGCTCAGGGCATCGGTTCTCGCTGTTCGTCATGGCGTGGCCCTGGACCTGGGTAGAGGTCCGGGTTCAGTGGTGATAGCCGCAAGGTGGAACTAGGCAGCCGCTTGACACTTCCGATCCGGGCCCAGGCGACTGGAAAGCCAGAGGTACGCAGGAAGCAAGGTCGAGAGGCGAGCGCCGAACGCTATCAAGTGTTGGCTAGCCGATTGTGAGCTCGAAACGCAGCGTGTTTACGTAGGTTAAGAAGAACGCTATCCCGGAGGCTTCCTACTTGGCCATGATAAGGAAATCTTTTCTGCGTGCCCCTGAGGGCGTAGTGCTGGGGCTGGCCCGCGTCGGTGTGTTTGAAAAGGCGAAAGGCTTATAGTTTGTGGTTATTTTGCGCGTGGCGCTTTTGTATATGGCAGCAGCCCACTATAGGGTTTTCATCTTCGTGGGCTTCCACTTGAGAGAACTCCAGCACCATGGTGAAGAAGCCACACCGCAAGCGCCTCGGTGACTGCCCTTGAGCGGCTCTTTTCCTTTACTCCGGATGGAAGTAGCAGATTGTTCCGTCACAGACGTTCCAAATGAAATAAGGAACCTTTAACAAAAGCAAGTCGTGGCCGGGCGCGTTGGCTCACGTCGTAATCCCAGCACTTTGGGAGGTCGAGCCGGCGGGATCACCTGAAGTCGGAGTTCGAAGCTCAGCGGCAACAAGGAGAAACCCCGTCTCTACTAAAAATACAAAAAATTAGCCGGGCGCGGTGGCGCGTGCCTGCAATCCCGGCTGCTCGAGAGGCTGAGGCAGGAGAATCGCCCAGGCCTGGGAGGCGGAGAGTTTGCGGTGAGCCGAGATCCCGCCATTTTGCACTCCTTGAGCAACAAGAGCGAAATTTCCGTCTCCAAAACAAACAAATAAAGCAAGTCGCGATCATAAGCACCACGTGTCGGGGAAAACATTCAAATGGTTGCCTGTTTGCTTGCTTGTGGTGCTGCTTTTTCCTTAAACTATCAGGAGAATCTCGATTCTCCTGCATTTAATTAATGCTGGGATCACCTCAGCCACTTTTAACCAGAAATCTGGCGATATCTAGACACCGCTCCTCTGAGAACATTTTTGACAACGTGACCAAAACACTACCAATCTAATATGGGGTGGGGTGGAGGAGACAAAACCACAGACAGATTTGCATCTGAAATCCTTAATTGCACACAATTGGCCCGCTTTATTGGGAATGGGCGGAGAGGTGCGACACCGAGTCCTCGAGAAGGCTAACTGGAGGGTAGAATTATAAGGTACTAACCCGCCCTGTTACATCCAGGAGGCTAAAGGACTCTGCCCCCTTTGCTCTGCAGTGCCATCTGCTGGCTGCAGCCAGCCTTGTACCCAGAGGGAAAACTGTCAAAGCTGGCCTGGAAAGGCAAGCCAAAGTCTAGTGCAGGGCAGATGCCTTGAAAATACATACATGCAGAGAAAGAAAAGAAAAAAAAAAAAAAAAGGCGGAATATGCAGGACAAAACCTAGGACAGCATGAGCAGCCACTCAGATTATGTGTATGTTGCACATTCACACACGGACAAATTCCCCTGCCAAAGAAGCTGTTCTGTCCCTCAGGGCAAAGACTCTATTGTGTAGGCCTTGAACCTTCATCAACCGTTGTCTAAAGCAGCAGCTAATCCCAGCCCAACACTTTGGAAGGCTGAGGCAGGCAGATTACCTAAAGGGTCAGGTTCAAGACCACCTGACCAACATGGTGAAACCCTGTCTCTACTAAAAAAAAAAAAAAAAATACAGAAATTAGCCTGGCGTGGTGGCGTGGGCCTGTAATCCCAGTTACTCAAGAGGCCGAGGCAGGAGAATCTCTTGAACCAGGAAGATGAGGAGTTTTGAATTAGCTGAGATAGCACCAGTGCATTCCAGCCTGGGCAATAGGCAGGCTCGTTTAAAAATAATAATAGTAATAATTGCCCTTCTTTGGCTGGGCCATTGCTCATGCCTGTAATTCCAGCACTTGGGAGGCGGTTGTGATCACCTGAAATTGACTGTTCGAGACCTGCCTGACCAACGTGGAGAAACCCATCTACCCTGCTACAAATACAAAAATTAGCCGGGCATGGTGGCACATGCCTGTAATCTCCCAGCTACTTGGGAGGCTGAGGCAGGAGAATCGCTTGGGCCTGGGAGGCAGAGGTTGTGGTGAGCCGAGATCGAAAATAAAAAAAAATTGCCCCTCTTGCAATCCTACAGCCATCACCTAACCCTCCCAACTGCTGATTACTCCTGTTTTAGAAATAAAGCCGAGGAGTTTGGGGTGGGAACTGCCAAGTATTACACTGGCACAATAATTCCAGCCTTCTGAAGTGGGACTAGAAAATTTTCCTCCACTTTTCCTGAATTGTTTCCTTTGACAACAACCACTACCTACTGAATAATACCTAAGTCTACTCAGCTTGCTATTAAGACACTTTTAATAGTAGGTTCCACTGTTCCCTATATGGACTTTAAGCTTTGTCCTATAAAGACTGGCATTCTTCAGCTACACAGTCTTTGCTTTCTCATTTTGCTCATGCACTCACTTTTTAAATGTAATTTTTTCTCCTTTTTTTAACTAGATGAAAACCTCAATTTTGTCATGCTCTGAAGACAAGTCTTTCCTCTTGATAACTCAGAAGTTAGAATAACAAAGTTAATGTTCCCAGGCGCAGTGGCTCATGCCTGTAGTCCCAACACTTTGGGAGGCCGAGGTGGGGGGATCACTGAGGTGGAGTTCGAGACCAGCCTGGCCAGTATAGGCAAAAACCCCATGTCTACTAAAAATTAAAAAAAAAAAAAAAAAAAAAAATTAGCCGGCAGGTGGTGCGGGTGCCTCTGCATCCCAGCTACTTAGGAAGCTGAGCGGGAGAATCACTTGAACCCAGGAGTCGAGATTGTGCCATTGCACTCCATCTGGAGCAACAGAGCGAGACTCCACCTCAAAAAAAAAAAAAAAAAAGTTAAGCCTGGGGCGCAGTGGCTCACGCCTGACGCAGAACTTGGGAGGCAAGGCGGGCAGATCACTGGGAGTCAGGAGTTCAAGAGCCGCCTGGCCAACATGGTAAAATCTCGTCTAAAAGCTTTACAAACTAAAAACAAAAAATTAGCCAGGCATGGGGGTGTGCTCAATCCCAGCTACTCAGGTGACTGAGGCAAGAGAATCGCTTCAGACTGGAAGGCGAAGGTTGCAGTGAGCTGAGATTGCACCACTACCGCTGCCTGGACAACAGAGTGGGAACTCCCTCCCAAAAAAAAAAAAGGAATAAAATTTAAAGGCTGACGTGGTGAAACTTACACCTGTAATCCCAGCACTTTGGGAGACTGGCGTGGATCACTTGGGGTCCAGGAGTTGGAGACCAGCCTGGCAACATGGGCGAAACCCTGTCTCTACTAAAAATACAAAAATTACAGCGCTGGCGTGGTGGTGTGTCTGTAATCCTGGCTACTCAGGATGCTGAGAGGCAGGAGAATCACTTTAACCAGGGAGACAGAGGTTTGCATTAAGCACAGAGAGATCGGAGCCCCACTGGACTCCAGCCTGGGGGAGACAGAGCAAGGCTGTGTCTCATAAAACAGAAAAAAAAAAATTTAAGGATGAGAGTGGAGAAGCTGAAAAACCCAGCAGCAGTGATGAATTGGCAAATTACAATTTTTTTTTTTTTGAGACAAGAGTCTCATTCTGTGCCCAAGCTGGAGTGCAGTGGTGCGATCGGCTCTTCCTTCTGGGTTCAAGCAATTCCTGCCTCTCCTCAAGTAGCTGGAACGCTGAGCTGCACCATCATGGCTAACTTTTGTATTTTTAGTAAATGGGGTTTCATTATGTTGGACAGGCTGGTCTTCGCGTCTCCACCCGCCTCTCGGCAAAGTGCTGGGATTGGCCGTGTGTGGTACCAGATGTAAATTATGATTTTAATTTAATTTAATTTAATTTAATTTTATTTTATTTTATTTTGGGGACGGAGTCCTGCACTCTGTGCGCAAACTGGAGTGCAGTGTGCCATCTCAGCTCACCTGCTTCCACCTCCCAGGTTCACTCCATTCTTTCTCCTGCCTTGGCCTCAAAGTAGCTGGGACTATACGGGAGGAGAGTGCCCGCCACCACGCCCGGGACAATTTTTTTGTATTTTTAGTAGAGACAGGGTTTAGCCATGTTAGCCAGGATGGTCTTAATCTCCTGACCTCGTGATCCACCCACCTCGGCCTTCCAAAATGCTGGGATTACAGGCCTGAACTCCACTAAGCCCTACTCCTTCCACCGTATTTTTTCTTTTTCATATTGTATAGTTTACATTTTTTTAATTGAATAGAGTGAGTCTCCCCAGGCTATTTCAAAATTAGTTGTATCAAGACTTTTATATTCTAAAAAGAAAAGTTGGCCAGTGCGGTGAAAGCTCACGCCTGTCCTAGCACTGGAGGAGTGGCCAGGATACAATGTCAAAGATCAAGATCATCCTTTTAACTGCTGGGCAGGAAACCCACGTCTCTGCAAAAGCCACAAAAGTGGCACTGGCGTGGTGGCAGGCACCTGTAGTCCCAGCTACTGGGAGGCTGAGGCAGGAAGATGTTCGCGGGCGGAGGAGATTGCAGTGAGCTGGGAATTGCCTGCCTCAGCCTGGTGACAGCGAGACCCTCATCTCAAAAAAAAAAAAAAGAAAATTCAGTTTCTGTGAAATTGAGTTAGCTCACTTTTACAAGGTTGTTGGAGGATTAAGTGAATTACTATTTACAACAATATCTGACATGATGGTATTCATAAATGATACGACATTATTGTTGTTCATTTGGCAAAAAGTATCTGGTTGGTCTGAATGGCTCCATGTAGCCTAGCACTTTGGGTGCTGAGGTGGGCGGATTGCTTGAGCTCAAGAGTTCAAGGCCGGCCTGCACAATATAGTGAAAGCCCATCTCTACAAAAGCACCAAATCAATGATCAGGCATGGTGATGCGCCTGGTCCCAGCTACATGGGAGGCTGAGGTAAAATCACTCAGCCTGAGTGGGAGGTTGCAGTGAGTCTGTGATTTACACTGCACACACTCCAGCCGGGGATGACTGATGGACCTGTCTC